ACTGTTTTTTTCTGAAAACTAATCCTTATGTTCCTTCATGCCCAGGGTTCTCCAGTTTAGTCCCATCTTTTGTCTTTAGGGGAACATGAATGCCCTGTACTCTTGCTGTTTCCTCCTTGAATGCCTTTCACTGCTGTAACACAGTTGCATCGACAAGTAGCTGCTCCTGGTCTACTTGCCCAAGTTATATCTTCGTAAAATTAGGCTTTTCCCAGTTCAGAAACTGTTATTCCTAGCGCATCCTTATCCTTTTCCATAACTATCTTAAATGTAATTGAGTTATGGTCACTATTTCCAGAATGCTCACCTGCTGATATGCCTTCCATCCGCCCAGATGCATTTCTGAATATTAGCTTGTTGAAATAGTGAACCTTGATGATGTGCATTCATCTTTTAAAATAAGCTCCAATCCAATATACATGTCCAAGTCAGATAACCAACACTATAGCAGGTTTTTGTTCATATTTTTAAAAGTGCAGATGACTACGTTGTATTTTTAAGCATTGACAATTTAACAGTGTGAAAAAACATAGATGGTTATTGGATTTTACATTTGATGGTGTGATTTGGTTTCCCACCCCCTCAATTTTGTCCAAGCCAAGTCATATGAAAGTAGTCTTCATGAAGTTATTCAGCTGTATTTCAAGTGAGTAGCTGGGACCTTCTTTTAAAACATTGTCTTATTCTTACCCTTTTACTGACAATGCATTTGGAAGGTGAAGCCATACTTTTGGACTGTAGAAGACAGATGGAAGTATGGGATGAACAGTGGGGGCAAGATCACAGATGAGAGAAGCTGTTAGACTCACCGTTTATCATTTGAGAAAGATACTATATGTTTTCTGTCAAATCTCTCCCTTGCTCTGGTGAAGGTATTCATTATTCACTTGACATGATATTGTTGTTATTATTATTATTATTATTATTATTATTATTATTATTATTATTATTGTTCATAAAGTACAGTGACGATTGTCAGCATGTTATTTGACCACTGAGTATGACAGGTGAATTCAATGCCAAGCAAGATTCTTGGTTGGCCAATTTGTATTTCTTATGAGATACGGTGGAAAACAATCAGGAGCAAGGATTCTGATCAGTTGTCAGTTTTTCTCCTACTCGCATGCAAAGATGTTGAATCCGTTTATCGCACTCCCACCATTGCATTAGCTGCAATTAGCTAAATTGGGACACAGTGAGATTCAAAGAGATGCTTTCCAGATTAATCTTGCTTAATGGATATATTCAAGAGATTATTCATAGCTGTTTTCAATTTTATGTCAAAAACTATATGCCACAATCGATATCCTCAAGTTTATTTAGAGTAGTTTCGCCAAAACTTTTGCCATGTGAAATTTCTTGTATAAAAAGCACAGCAAAACTTATCCAGAATATGAGTAAAAGAGGATATACGTTTAAGTAGGAAAGCTCCTCTGTGGGGAAAGAAATCAAAATTTGTAGAGTAAAAAAAATTTGATTTTGTGATGCAGTTTGGGCTTAGTTGTTTTGGAATGAATTATAGCAACTCGTCGATTGTTTTGCAGCCTTGTTGTTCCTTTTCAATATTTTGCTATTCTCTCTGGACAATGGTGGTAATTCTGAAGAGTAAGATAACTAGTACTAATCTTAATGTAGTTAATCAAATTGAGCAATGTTAGAATATTCAAAAATGCAAGGAGTAGGCGATTGAGCAGTAGTGAGCAATGATAAGCCTGCGAATGCAAAGAGCAACGGCACATGTTAAGGTATGTTAGGACGGGAGGGGTGTTGCAAGGGTGTTGCAACTGGGACATGAGCATAATTCCACAGGAGTAAATAAAAATGCCACTGGGTCTCATGTAAGTTATGGAATCATGACTTATATCTATAGTTAGGTTCGTGAAGAAATCTGGCAAAAGCCTCATTCACCCTTACACCAGCAGGAAATCAGCAGTAAATGGAGTTGCTTAATTTTAACTGTACTCTTTCTTTCCAACTAACAGGAGAGAATTAACTTTTCTTATTATGTCTGTTACTTTGCTCTTGCATTACCATAGAGCTGTAGAATAATAATACTTCACTAAATCTGAGCGCACGTAACACAGCCCACTTGATATATTTCCTGTTTTCATCGTGAGAAACATTTAGTGGACCAATACTGGATCAGGACAGGTGTTGGCAGGAAGTGGCTTGTTGTATTGCTAAGCAGTAACCAGTTATTATCTGTAAACCACGGTCTTCTGCTAAACTGGCAGAGGCTGAGGCTTGAACATGTCGCAAACTGTTTGTCACTAACAGCAGTGTCTGTGTGGGCGTATGGCACCCAAAGCAATGGGAAAGCAGTGTGAAATGTGTAGGCTTGTGTTGTCATCTGAACACTTGAAGTAAAGCGGCCAAGTCTTTTTGGTTACTTGTCTCAAATCATCAGTTTTAAGAATAGGTTTATTTTAGAAACCGGTTAAGTGATGCCACAAAGTTGTTATTTTTTGTTAAAGCAAAACTATTTCTCATTGCATCTGAAAATATTATTTACTCTCCCTTGCTCCAATTTTCCTCCTCAACCCCGCCCACCTCCACCTCCAAAACACAGCCTCATTCCTCTTGGAATACATGCTTATTTAAAAACCAGTTTGCCACAGGAAACAAGAAGTCTGCAGGTCGGGAAAAACATGCTTTTCAATGTCTGTTAGAAAAATCCTGCATTAGCTTTGATCTCCTTGCCATTTGGGAAAGCCACATTTCTCTGTTTTGATGGCTTCACCAATTTCTTTTGAACATAAGAAACTACATGGAATTAGGTGAAAGGATGTAAAAGGCTTTGAACAGTTGCACAGTACATTTTATGATGAGTGTTTTAAGCTTATTTTAAATATCCTTTTTATGGTATCCTGTCAGCTTTTGAACATATGTTAGGTATTGCCTTTTTGAGTACTTGTCACATATGCAACTAAAGATTTGGAGTTGGTAGCCAGGAGATTAATTTGTATGCAATAGCTTTTTGACACAACTTAAATAAAAGATTTTTTTTTAATGAGGTTTGGAGTTTTAAGGGTTCAAAAGACAAATTTTACCAACTGCTGATTTTAAGTGAAGTACTGGATTAAGAATGGGCAATGTATTTAGTTTTTATTAAAATTATAGGAATAGAGAGGTCATATGCTGCTTTGTGAGCAACTATAAGTACTTTGCATAGTGTAACCGTGCTGACATTATAACAAAACATCCTCCAAGGGAGTAAGAAATGCCATGAAAAACCTGCTAGTGCCTTTTCAAATCTTTCCTAGAAACTGCAACTAGAAATTTTTATTTGTATTTCAATGAGGCAGCAAGGCATTTTTTAATCAAATACTTCAATTGTAAACTTAAATTCATAAACCTATACAAGAAAAGTATGTTAATTCTAAAATATCAAAATATTTAAACTGTTGAATGTGAAGCTGTTATATGGGGTAGGTAGAAATGCGTTCGAGTTAAGTAACACATTTAATGCAACTGCTACCATTTGTAACAAACTACTTGGTAACATTTAAATGGACCCACATTCTAAATTTTGAAGTGCCATCTTGCTGCAGTGCATATTGTGACTTGGCTAAGAAATTCTTTTGTTTCCTAACAGCAGCAACTGTTATTTTATCCCTTTACCAATTGGTAAATTTGACTGATAAACATTCGGATAAGTGGCATGATTATGAAATAATTTTAAAGTTACCCATTTAAAAGCTCACAAACTAACAGTTAGGTACTTTAAAGACAACCTTTCATCCCTTTTGATGCGAGTTATCCATCCATGCTCAACATTTTAGCAGTTCTGCCATACGGGGTTTGTGAACGGAACTCTTAAAGGAAAGTATCTTTTGACTTTTAAATTGCCTACACTGTTGATTTTTGCTTATTTATATTGATTTTTGCATTGTTAATATGTGTATGATGTAATTTATATTGGAATCTAGTGGACCCAATTTTAAGGTTTCATTTGTACGAAGTGGGACAGAGTTGGCATGAAAGGCAGGTGCTTTCTGTTGCAGTCCACCTGTATTAAGTAAATGTCTCATTGAGTGATTATTATACTCCTGAGTTTTGATGGGTTAGTTTGTTATAGTAGGAAAGAATGTAGGAGTTGAACAGTAATTGCAGTGAGTGTGATTTCAGGTTGTACTTAAGTAGTGCAGTTTATATTACTTTTGCTCTGAAGACTTGAGTTTAGACTCACTAAATGAAAGTACTATCTTGAATGAGATAGAGCCACAGAACACATGGATTTGATCCCTTGCTCAATTCACTGATCAGAGTTAGGAGTGTTTACTTGGGCTAAGAAAGGAAAGAAAAACGAGCTGGTTCCCAGCGCCCTGATCTCTGTCTAGTGGCCTGTCATGTAACATTCTCAAAAAATTGTATAACGTTCAGTGTGAGATCTTCTGTTTACATAACTAGTTAACATTCATTGCCTGTGATCACTGCTACCAAGTGGTCAACTGGATATGGCTTTGGGAATTGGCAGTGATCAGAAAAGCTATAACTTTTGTTCCATCTTTCTTATCCCATTACACTTCAAATCGAAGAATTCACTTTTTGAAGTAATATTGCCTTGGCCTATGTGGAAGCCATACTGTAAGCGGTTATAGCCTCGAAATTGCAGTAAAATGAATTGTCTATTTTTATTTGTTGTTTCGGTGGAGAAATGTTTGCACCTCATTGAGTAGTTTCATTGGATCTTTGTCCTTGCAAACTATGCAGTAGTCAGGTATGGCCTTAGTTTAATATTTCAATTGCATAATTGAAAATGTAATACTCATTCAGTACTGTACTGGTGTCAGTTTGCTTACTTCAGTCATAGAATGCTGTTTGAGCCCACAGTTTTCTGCATTATTTGGTTAAAAATTCAGACGAGCTAATACGTAAAATACCAACACCACACTGGACGTGCTGTCAGCAAAAATGGTGAGAAACTGGGATGCGTTGATGCATTTATGGCATGTATTAATCTCTATACCACTTAATTTATCTTTTCTATTTCTTTGCAGTTTTAATCAAACGGGAGCATACAGATGAGAGAGAATTGCCTACTATTCCTACCCTTCCAATGTCTGTTGCACACACTACTAGTCTACATCAAGTTGCATCTCAGCTGCCTTCCTCAGATACTGGTCACCTTCATGAAAATTTGACACCTACTTCACAGAGGAACCTCGGTCCTCCAATGCAACAGAGTTACCCACCTATGATTTCTCCATCGGCAACGTGTATGCCACATCTTTTGGGAAGAAGCATTAGTCCGGGTTCGGAATGTTCTATTCTGCCTCCCTTGAGTCACCAGTCCTTCCCGACACCAGCTCCACCTATCAGGCCTTCTTATCAGCCTATGCAATCTAACATGATGTATAATGGACAGCCAGGTCTTCCCATGAACTCTGTTTCTAGCCAGAGATATGAAAAATTATCTTATCAGCCTGATGTAGCTGGTCCACTTCAAATCAACCTTGGATGTCAACAGATGCAACAAATGTACTGTTCTCCGAATCCAGGTACAGCTTCATCACCATCTCCGACAACAGCACACTCTTTGGGACATTCTCCACGCTCTGGACAAACCTCATCACCACTACAGAGTTCAAGTTTAGGGAGCCTGCCTGCACCACCTCCGTTGACACATCATAGTGTGTGTGACCCATCATCATTTTCAGCACCAGAGAGAGCATCCCTGAACATTAAACAAGAACCAGAGGATAGTGAGTTACCTTTTCAAGCCATAGGCCTACAGGATATCACACTTGATGATGGTAAGTAATTGAATTTATTTTAAACTTACAATTCTATTGTTAAAAGGGTATCACCAAAGAATTAGTGCACAGATTTAGAAAACATGTGCCTGAATACATAAGTAAATTGGATTATCTTTGGAAATTGTGCTTTACGTGCAATTCTGTAAATGTTAACCGATGAGAAACGGTTGTCTTATCTTTTATCATATTTTTCATAGTACTGCCTACGCAAACCAAACACATCCTTTTAATCAGCAACTAAATACAAAATATTTAAACCAATTATTTCTATTTGTTGGACTGACCAGGAAAGTGGAAAATTCTTATTAAGCGTCGCATCAGAGTCATATGTTACAACAAAGTTATGGTCAGAAAAACATTAATAATAAAAACACAACAAAAAAGTTACTAGAAATATTCAGCAGCTCAGGTAGCATCTCTGACGAGAGGAAGTGTTTTTCTTTTACTGATGCTGGAAAATGTAAGAGATATAACAGTTATACGTAAGGCCATTGACTGGAAAAAATGGGGAAGGAAGGAAAGAACAAGGAAGAAGAGGGAACAGAGGGAAAGATGGTTAATAAATTAAAATGTTTTCCCTTCTTTCTATAAACTAGTAACAAAAGTCTGACCCATCAATACCTAAATATTAACTTGGGACAAACTGGACTCATACCACAGACTTAATTTGGTTTCTGCATTGTTTCATGCCAGTATATATTAGTCTTATCTTGATGAGCTGAGCAAAAACTCCAACTATTCCACAACTTCTGGCATTCTTGAGTCCGAAATTAAGCCAGTGAGAAGTAAATTCATAAATTTCCAAAGTTGTTACACCTTGTATGCAAAATGTTGCATTTTTGCATAAAATGTTCAGGAGTGATTTCCTCTTCTATAAATAGCCACCTGTGTAATGAAAATTCATAAGTTATGAGGTATCTCTCATATAAGTTGGAAGAAAATTTCAAAAAAAGATTCCAGCATATTAAAAGACTTGGCATGGGATTTTTTTTTTTAAGAGCAGTGGATATTTTAACGCACGCTTTTTTGTCCTGTAAAAATGAAGAATCATGCATCATCATTAGAGTATTGTTGTTATTTATAAATATATACAATGTATTTCACCATTTAGTTGTAATACAGACTCTTAAAAGTTAAGATAATCTGTGCAAGGCACTGAAGTCCTTACATTTTGTTGCCACTTCTGGAGACCTCTGCAGTGCCAGCCAAATTAATGACAAAATATTCTTGCAAGCAGTAAACTTGCAGTCAAATTAAACTTGGTCATTTTCAGATGTCGGGATTGTTCTTGATACTTTAAAGACGTTACTTACATTTCTATACCGAAATCATAAATTAAAAATCAATTTATTCCAGAAATTCAAAGAATTCAGCAATATTCATCATTTAATTTAATTTTGGTTTGTAATACTTAACGATACAATTGGTTTGATTGCAAACTTCGCATGAAGTGGAAATATTTCTATTTTGAAAGCTTGTTTTTTTGCGTTGCAAAGCTGCGTTAATGTCTATCCCTAGTTTCTCTTAGAAGGTGCTGGTTGATCTCCTTGAGCTGCTGCAGTCCTTGTGTTGGCGCTGCTCCCATAATGGTGAGAGCTAGGGTTTTAATAACCAGTGATAATAGAAGAAAAGTGAAACCTATTCAAATCAGGATCATGTTTAATTTTGAAGAGCACTTGGAGATGCGATGGTATTCCGACAACATTTCTATTCATGCTCATCTTGGCTGTACGGGAAGGGGGTGCTGTCACAGCAACCTTGGTGAATTGTTTGTAGTATGTCCTACTCATCATGCTTACTGGAACCACGATATCTTGGTTGGTGATTAGTATTGAATCCATATCACAAGTGCCAGTGAAATAAACAGCCATGTCCTGAATGATGTTGAATTTCTTGTTGTGAAAGTTTTAGATTTTTCAATATTCCTGACATGAGCCTTATAGATCGTAGAAAGCTTATGAAGGGCAATTGCAGGATAGTCACCTGCCAATAATGAAGGAAAAAAATTAAATAGCTTCATCTCCATTGTGAGACGTGTTGGAGGTGATGGTGTGCTCACAAGTTTCTGTTCTTTTCCTTCTTGACAGTAGAAATTACAAGAGAGGAAAAGTCAGTAATCTTGGTGAGTTGGTGCAGTGTATCCTGTAGTTCATCTATACTGTTGCCACAGTACCTCAGGGACCAGGTGATCCAACAAACTGCAATGCCCAGTTCTGATGAAGAGTGAACGTTTTCTTTGCAAATTCTGTTTGACATTTTCTTTTTCATCTTTGTCCTAATTAATGTTGAATAATTTAAAATTTAAAGGTAGATAGTAAATGTTTGATCACACTTGACCTAAACCTTCACAAAGAGGTGAAATTCTGAGGAAACTGGAGGTGAGTCATTCTTCAAAGTCTATAGTCTGTGCCCTACTTGGTTATGATCCCCAAGATATTGGTCGTTGAGGATTCAGTAATTGAAGGTCAAAGGAAATAGCAAGGACTTCCATTGTCTGAGATAGTCATGTCCTGAGACTTACGATGGCATAATATTACCTGCCACGTTGCAGCCTGTGGGTGGATGTTATCCAAGTTCTGTTGCAGGCCACCATGGAGCTAACAGTGTGAAATCCTTACTGAATTGCACCACTCCTGATATTACAGTAAGGTAATTGAGGAAACAGTTAAAAATAAGGCTGAGGATGTTCCCTTGAGGAATCCTTACAGTGCTATCTGGACACTTATTGATTTCTGCCACCTCATCTGTTTTCATTTTGAATCACATTATTATAGCTACTAGATGCTTATCATCCTCTGTGACTCCTGTTTTGTGTGACCTCCTTGTTGCCATATTCTCTGAAACGCTGCCTTGAACTTCTGAATCAAAAACATTGCAATGTAAATTGAAGCGGCATGTAACAGTTGGAAGGGAAATAGATCTTGGGTACTTCCACGATATCCCCAATGCTTCCAGATGTTGCCAGTCATGGGTACACAGCATTTCGTCTACCAACAGACCTCGAGAATAAACTCAAACATAATCCAACCATCCAGAGCTACGAATCTCGACAGTCTTTCTCCATTGTAACTAAACTCTCAACTCCCCAGTTCAATCATTCCCCAGAACCATTTCCAAAATGTTACAAAACGCCACAAACACTTTTTATCAGGGCTGCAAAATTAATGCATGACCTAGTTAGCTGTTTGCTGCCTGCAACATTTTCTGTCATCTAGACTTTAGATCTGGCCTTTCTTTTAATGAAGGTAAAGGAATGTAATGTCAAGAGTGAGTTGGAGTTTTCACGAAAATCTAAATCATTGATGTAATAATTATGTATTATTATAAAAGTTAAGTTTGATTCATCACTTTTGATAGGCTCTGATAATACTGTACTATTTAACAGGCAGTGTAACTTACTTTTGATAGCTTGGGATGACTATCATCATGTAGATATGCATGAAAACAATCTAAAATTTTAGTGGCCTAAAGTTCCCCATTTTGTTACATTGCTCTTCCTTCTGCTTTTTTCTTCCAACCGAGAAATAGAAATTCATGTTAATTCTTGAATTGGCCCCAAGTTTACATGTAGCGAATTACCTGAATTCATTGATTTAGCAAGACCTTAAAAACTATACATGTAAGCCTTAAAGGAGATCAATAACAACATTTTGTTCATAAAACCACTTAAGGACTTTAAAATATCCCGAGGTGTTTCATATTACTTCAGATGACCAAATACTTGATCAAAGAGAGAGATTTTAAGGCTGTGTTTTAAAACAGGAAAGAGAGGTCTAGGAAGTGACCTGCAGAACTTGGAGGTTTGTCAGCTGAAGCCATGGCGCTGCTGGTGGTAAGATTAAATTTAACGAAGCTCAAGAGGCCAGTGATGGAAGCACAGATAGTTTGGCAAATTGTGGTATTTGAGATTACAGAGAAAGGGAGAGGCAATACCTTGGTGGAATTTGAACTCAAGAATGAAAGTCTTACATTTTCAAGGTGTTGCCTAACTGGAAGCAATTTAGATCAGTAAAAATGATTAATAGATGAATGGGACTTGGATAAGTACAGAACATAGGCATCAGAATTTTGGATGACCTCAGGTTTATGGAGAGTAGAACCAAGAAATAGATGAGGGTTTCAGCAAAAGCTGAGCCAAAGAAGGGACTGAGTTGAGCAATATGACTCGTGCAGAAATAGGCAGTCTTAGTAATGACATGAATGTGTGGTTGGAATCCACCTGCAGCTGAAGGAAGTTTTTGCTTCATGTAGAGGATTAAGTTTAAAAAAAAATGCTCCACAAATATAACCAGCTTTTGAAGTCTTATCTTTAAGATTTCAGCGTTCTAAATAACTCATTACCAGTTTTGGTGACTAACAGTTAAGTGCATTTTTATGCAAACGTTAACTACTTTTGAAGTACTTCAGTGTTAAAAAGCACCAGCTTCCCACAGATGTCTGATTTGCACAACCGTATGTAATTTTGATTAGCTTCTCATTGAATCACACTTTGACTAATCTATTTGTCATATAAACAATGAAAATGTATAACTACAATACGTTCAAATATAAAAATTCAGCTTTTAAGATTTATCATATTACTATCACCACTTTGGTGAGCTCAGAAGACATCTGCTTTGACATGGAAGTCTTTACCACATTTACTGCAAAGGAAGATATTGGCTGAGAAGGCACCCAATTCAATGGCCCCTGTTTTCTCTGGGTTGTCCTCTTAGCCAGCTGAGCTTTTTGTTTCTGCTGACTTATTCCGATTCTCTTCCGAATGGTCAGTCAGCGCAACCACAGACTATGTCCCCCAGCAATCAGTCAGTATCCACCATCTTCTTAAGTCCAACACAGGTATCCTTTTAGAGAGGTGTCAACAGCAAGTGATGATGACCCACTGGCAAATTCACCATATAGATGGTCTTTGGATACAAGGCTATCTTTCCTCTGATGAATGTGGCCGCACCAGTGCAGAGCAGTGACTTAGTAATGAGTTTTGCTGATGCAATCGG